CTGCTATTGTGGACATTGCTGCTATAAACACTGGGGTACAGGTGCCCCTTCAGATCACTATGTTTACATCCTTTGGGTAAATACCCGTTATATTCTTTTAAAAAAGTGAAAATGACTTAAAAAAAATCACCTCTCAACAATGTTGAGGCAAGACACGCCATCCTGGCCACCCACAGCATAGAGAAAGCCTCCGAGCACGGCCACACCAACACTTGTCCTGCAGGTGCTTGTAGGAGCCACATCACTGCTCCACTGGTTTGTTTTGGGGTCATACCTGCAGAGAACATAGTAAGAGCAGAGTTTGTATTACACAAAGAAAGCCTGGCTGTATTTACATATTCTATACTCTTTCCTCTAAATATGGGCTGATTAATAACTAAAGTATATGAAAAGCTAATTTAGGTTTTATTTTTTAAACTTAATTTTTACTTATACAACTCACAGATGAATATATTTTCTTTAAAACTTTTTTCAGAATGTTATAGGTTAACCTAAATTTTCCTTTGAGTTCCACCAATTTCTGGTCTCTTCCCATTGTGACCTGGTGTATGTCCTTCAAGACTTTTCAGTAAAATACTTTTAAATAGGTATATTTAGATGCAAGTATGTTTTCTTTACATAAATAATACCACACAGTAGGCACAGCTTTTTTACTCAACATACTTCTGAGATCTATCCATGCTAATAGATAATGTTCTAGATTTTTTCCAGCATTTCATTATTGTGTGTTCCATTACATATTCCTGTTGATGTATCCTTACATTGTGTCTTACATTTTGCTATTAAAAACAGTGATTACCGTTGTATATTTCTCTTTGTGCAAATAGATGATGACAAGTAGAATCATGGGGCACAGAGTAGAGTCATTGTCAATTTAAAAAATATACTGTCAAAAAAAACTATCAAATTGCTCTTTGTGTAATTATATCAATTTTATTTGTTTTCAATTTCATTAGTTCTTTCTCTTTTTTTTCTATTTAATTTCTTTTTTTCTATTTTCTTGGGTTTTGTTGCTCTTTTTGTAACTTCATGATTTAAAAGCATGATTTATTTTCTCATCTTTCTTATTTTCAAATGAATGCATATTAAGTTAAAATGCACTATAAATTTGCCTCTGAATACTACCTTAGTTGCATTCCACACATTTTGATATATTTGGGCTT